CATCCAAGGCAATGATCTGCAACAAGTAGAGAGTCGGTAAAAATTGTCGCCTTTTCCGGTCGACGAATTTGTCCCGCGTGGAGTCACCTTGTTAATCAATAGATCTTACGGAATGTTGATCAGGGCTGATAAGGCTTTTCTATGAAAAAATAAGAAACGTAAATGTGACCTTTGAATAAAACTAATTGTAAATAATTGTACTTTGCAGACCGAAACCCGAAAGTCTGAAGGTAATCTGGAAGGCAAAGAAGGAGTATCGGAAGCACTTAATATGGCAAGCTAAATCACTAAAGGATAAGTAACTTTCCGGAGAACTTTCATAGCAAAAAACACTGCTCCCTTAACATTTCTCAATAATCCATAAGCAACACTTTAACCTTTACCCTCCATTTAAAAATTTAACTCTCATGCAATCTTTCGGGAGGGTGTAACTTTAATGAGTAGTACTATAAGAGGAAGATCCTATTATTCCAGCAATACTAAAGATTTATCAGTTCAGCCCTTAGACAAAAGAGAGAGACCCGCAATACCGATCCACGGCATGCGTGAATTCGACGCGAATTTCGAGACGACCGCCATAACTTTCGGTGGCAGCAAAGCGCGGTGGCAGTGTGAATTTATTGACATTTTTCATTATTGATAAAGTTTGTGTGTGCAAAACTGTGTGATATAAACGTGGGCTGAATTGTTCTGCGTCAACTGGTAAAAGTGCCACGTGGCTCGTTGTCCAGCAAGGATATCATTTCACAGGCAAGATAAAAAACGGCACGTTGTCTGGTTTGGCTAAATTTAATTAAATCTTCATGGTAGTTAATAAAACACTTCTAAGGTCTTCATTTTCACAATCTTATAATTGTCCTATATGCATGAATAAAATACTGCTTTATACTTCTTTTCATTGATAATTTCTCGATTACAGTATAATATAACCTGCAAGCGATATTCCAGTGGCGGCGTGACATCTAGTTACATCACGTAACAAATATGTACATGGTTGGATGCCTAACCCTTAAGCGACTGATTACTTTGTATGGAGTAGTTTAACTATAGTGTATGTTGCCTTTGTACTTACATGTAGTCTGCGCAGGGTGCACGACAGATAGGATTTGGTCTTAAAAAGAGAGAGGTCATCGATGGATGTTCGAAACAATACACATCGATCGCCGCCACATTCGATAAAGACAAGATATCCTGAAGGAAGATCGTTATGATTAAACCCGTTAGGGGAGAAGACATCTCAATTCAATATTATCACCGTCGTCATCGTCAACGGTTTGCTATAGTATCAACAGCTTATTACTGAAGTACAAGAAACTGCTTAGGGCTTTATTGCCAAAGCCTGTTGTATAATTGTGAGTATTCCAATTCATTTATTCTATTTTATGGTTGCTATTTTGTTTAGAAATAATTTCCCATTCTGAAACCATCAGCTGCGTTTGCCCTCAAGATTCACTCGGAAAAGAATATAGGTACATTTATTTTATTTGTACAGTTTTCAATATAAGAATTATTTACTAAGGTTGTACTTTATTTTCCTTCATGATAACAACCAAACTGATAAGAAGTGTATCAATCAAGATAGATTACAGTTCATTAATTACTTTGTTGGTGCATGATCACCTGTTTCTCCGCACTTAGCCGCAAACAGTATATAAGCTAATGATCTGTCTCCAAAAGGGGAAAATTATGTCAGAACAGTGTATGATACTGGTGTGCACCATCGGCAAATTGTACCTATAAATCAAGCAATTGTTCCCCAGGATTCACATCAGAAGCGCTAACTGCCATTCACAATTAAGCAAGCAGATATATCGGGAAGAAAAAGATTCAATGTGTCCCAGGTAGTATGCACCATAGGGAAACGACAATGTATTTTTTGCGAAGGATCCTAAAATAAGCCAGGACCATCTGGAATTATTTTCTTCTTCCAAAAGATCAAGGGATGGATAGAATAACAACCCCACCTCAAGGCAGTTTGAAAGTGCTTATACCGAGGCATATACCTACAAACGCTTGCTGATTACAACAGAGTTGTGAGATAGTGGGGTGGAGAGTTGTATTCCTCTGGATACAATCCCTATTCTATATAACTTGTCCGTCGCAAGGAAGCAACGAACAAATTATTAATGCTTCAATTAATTGGAACAATGAAATAGAACTGGAAGATATGCAATAAATGTTTGTTCAAAAAGCATGAACTGTGCAATATTGAACAAATTGTTAAATACGTTGCAGGGTTCCTCACCAGAAAGATGTGTGCATTAATTAAAAGCGAAATGTGTTGCAAAGTGTTATTGGAGCATAACGAACATATACCGTACCTACATTGTACACTTTTATAATTTACCCTTTTTCAGTTTTGATCGCTTCAAAAAGGGGGGTGCAGAATTTTACTAAAGGTATATGTGGTAATATCTACATACCTACTTATGTAAGTATACTTTCAATAATATTGCGTTTATATCGCGCACCCAGTTTCCGAAACGATCAAAGTCGAGTCGTATGTTTACGTTTATCGCGTTTTTTGTCTCTATTCAAATAAGAACCCAATATTATGTGCGACAACTGTACACACAGGTTAATCGTACCATGATGGCAGTATAAATAAATTGTAATTTCCTAATGTAATACCCGAGCGGGCGCCACTGGTGGTGGCAGTATGATCGCAATTTACTTCACGCGCGCGCTCTCCTCTCTTTCATAGTCTAAGGTTCAGCCCTTAGCCTTCCCTGGTTCAGCCATACCGGTAAAAAATATTTTCCACTTCGACCACTGCATTCAGGCAGACGGACGAAATTCACGCCTGTAACTTTTGAACTAGTAGCCCAATCTTGGAATTGTTTGAAATTATGGATTCTACAGGCCACATTCTATAAGAAAATTTTGTTTTCCGAGTCGATCTGAGACAATTTTTTTTTCGGGGCTCAAAAAATTTTACCAAAAATCGACTGCACCAAAATTTCTCGGGAAAACACTTTTTCTTATTAATTTTGGTGCGTAGAATCCAAAACAATTCGTACTTTTTCGATCAGACTTCTCAATCAAAAGTTATAGACTAGAAACCAATTTCGAAAGAAAATTCAAAGGGCTGTAACACGCCGGCATTAGATACAAGTATTTTGCACTGAAACTCGTATTACCATTGAGTAACTCAACGGTACTACTGCAATTCTTTCCGCTAGTTTCCGAGGTACTCACCGGAAAAAATTTCCTTGTATACTTACGTTGCCGCAAATCACTGGCGCTATGAGGTAGGAAATAGTAAGCAAAACATTTTTGGTTTTTGCATTGTTTTACTAATAAATACGTTAAAGCGTAGATGATTATAATACTCCTTTCCTTAAACATAATAACTGTGTTACATCTATAGATAATAAAAAATTATGAAGGTATCTAAAATTTATTGCTAGTTATATTTTATAATTAATTAGACGTTTTGGCAAGTGCGCAGTCGTACGCTAACAGCGTAAAATATTAATTTACAATTCTTCTTGTATACAAATGTAAAAAATTTGTTCGACTCTATGGTTTTTTTTTAAATACAAATATGGCATATACATGTAAAAATTTAATACTTACTTTTTATACCAATCACGCTTTTTAATGGCAGTGCTTCGGAAGCATATTAAATAAGTATCTGGCACTCAACATACATAAGCTAATGTTAATTTAAATAGTAAACAATCACAGACAACTAACAAATGAGAGTATTCTACATGTGATGTACATAAAGATCATGCAGCGTAGTAGGTTTAATATCAAAAATTGAATGATTCATGCAGATCTCCTAGTCCTTTACTTTGTCTTCAGTCAAATTTAAATATATTTGTTTTGCTTTCAGCAAGACAAACTATTAGGATTCATTTTCGTAGGTTAGGTTGACTTGTTCACTCAATTATTTCTTGTGGCGCTCTTCTGCAAGACGCGCAGCATGAGTTATTGTAGTATTGATATTGGCAGAGTCGTGCTTGGACCGCCAGGTGACAATTTCGAATTTTGTCTGCACAAGTATCTGAAACAGTGGAAGGATGTTACTGAGTGGAAGAGATCAGAAGATCGTCTTACGGTCCTGTGGTTCATCGTGCGATGGGATATTCATCTGGTCGTCCTTTCTCTCGCAGCCGCAGGAACGTTTCAATATTGGTCTGTCGGGGTCGGTGCACAGATTCGATGGGGCACCGTTTGCCTCCATGCAGCGCACTTCTCTGCGTTGGATTCCAGCGGGACAAGGTCCTTCGCAAACGCCCCACTCTCCAACAAACCACTTCGGTGTGCATTGTCCGCTGCACGCTCTCTCAGTGATCGGTTTTTCTTGCACAGAACACGTCATATCATTAGCTATACGCGTTTGTCCTCTCACTTTAACTAAACACATAACTTCGCGAGTCTGTTTGGAGACACCGTTGCACGACTCTGAGCAAGGGCCCCATGGTCCAATGAACCACTGCCCGACGCAATACCTGTCACTCGAACAAGCCCTCTCGATTTCCGGTTTACCGGAAGGTTCGCACGAGCCGATGCCGCATATCGTCAGCCTAAACTGCGTTCCGGTCCCGCACGACTCGGAGCAATGCGACCATTCCGACACTAACCACGGAGAAACGTGTCCATGTGCAGCACAATTACCGCTATCACAGTATTCAGCGTGAGGAGGTCTCAGTTCGCTTAAACATCTCCCACTTGGACAAGAGATGACTCTGGTACGTTGACCAGTGCCGCACGATACGGAACACTAAAAATTTACAGTAAACGACAAATTTGAGGATGACAAAGGTAACTTGCCTGCGACCAAGGCCCCACCTTCCACTCGTGTACTTCAACTTTATTGGTCGAATCTACGCGTTGATTGATTTCATTATCAGATCGAGTTTCACATGGTGGTAACTTGCAAGGTCTGCTTGAAGCGTTTGGTTTTGCTGTGGAGCAGACGTTGTCGTGTACGGCAATCGGCTTACCGCCACGATCTTGTTGGCACGTAACCACGAAGTGTTGCAAGCCTTGGCCACACGATCCAGTGCACGCGCTCCAAACGCCTCCCCAGAAAGCTGCGCAGGGATGAGTGTTGCAACGGATCTGCTGTTGGATTGGGCGCTCCAAGTGAGAGCATCGCTTGTCGGAGACTGGTGTATGACCATGCTCTCTGACGCATGTATACGTGGTGGTTTGCAGGCCTATTAAGAGTCAAAGTCAATTATTAGGTACAAAAAGAGTAGCTAAATACCTCCACCGCACGATTTTGAACAAGGAGATACTCCCGAGATTTTCCACGAGAACCTTTTCCTTATTTTCCGCCGATAGTTATGTCCAGGTTTCGCTTCGTCGTGTTGAGATACAGAATTTGAGGGAACGTCTAACCGGCGCGGTTCCAGCTGTGAAGGTACCGGGTGGAAAGGAGGTGCAATTTCTTCATCCAGCGGAATCATCATTGGTAAAGAGTAATCGTACTTTATCCCTGGATTTGGTTGTTGTGTAACTAACTATAGTACATACAACGTTAAACACTGGGCTGGTCTGTACGAATGCGTATGAGGGCCATAAGAAATATTTCCACCTTGCAATCGGAATTCTGACTACGCAACTAAAAGGTCCATTATTTCGAAAAAAAAACCTATTTTACCCAAAGTGTATGCCGGCATACGAATTATGTGCTTTTCGTTTGAACAAGCTTTATTTAATAAACAGAATTGTAGTATATTGAATAGGGGATGAGGAGAAACAGCTATTTATTTATCAAGTGCGAGAAAAGTTTAATTTCCGAGGCTTTAGGCAGAGGAAATTAATTTCTCAAGTTGATAATACATGATTCAATAACAAAATTTTATCCAAAACCGCTCAATGAGCAAGCTACTTCATACTGCCTTTCTAAAGAAAAGTTATGAGCATTTTGTCCCGCTGAAGTGTACCTATTCGAATACATACGTCGCATCAGCTAAAATGAATCGTACATGCGTAAATTGAAAGTAGTCAATAGGCTCTTCAAAATCTTCCCTTTCTTCGTTTTTTTTTTGCGTCGCCTGAAGAATTTTCTATCTTATTGAGTTATTCAGACGTACCGATTCGAATCTTCATTTTCAGAAACTGCGGATTTTCAATTTTCCCCAAATTTCCTCATGTTTCGGATTCTTCTGTTTTTTTCACATTTTGCACCATTCCTTCGAACACTTCTTAGGTCACTTCGAATTTATCATATTATTCCAATTTTACTATCCTTTAAGATCCTTCATATTCATATTCCATCGGATCATAGGATTTTTTAAAATCTTACATTTCTTAGGAATTTTTCCCGTTAGGTATTAGGTTTCAGATTCTTCCCACTGCCCGGATGTTTCAAATTAATATTCCCATTTCCCCGCCTTTTTAGATTCTCGAGATTATATAGCTTCTCTCTCTACATTTGTCTGTTTAGATTATACGGATTTTCCCTTTTATGTTTTTGGTGATTCTCTAGATTTGTCAATTTTCCATATCATGTGTTTCTTTAGTTTAATCAGAACCTTCAAATGTTCAACCTCCGTGTTTTACGAATATTTCCGGTTTTCAGATTGTTCCGACTACTGAGATCAATAAAATTCATTGGATGCGTAAGGACATTTGGAGTCTTCAATTTGAAGTTTCCATTTCTCTCTATTTCTTTGATCTTATGAAGATCTTCAAATTCTCCAGGTTCTTATTATTTCAAGGATGCTTCCGATTCCGATTCTTGATTGTGAAAATTCTACAGACACATAAGATCCTACATATTCTTGGAACACTTTTCATATTATTGAAACTCTTATGCTTCCGTTTTTTTATGAATTCATTCCACTGTTTCTATTCATGGTGTGTCGCAGATGTCTAGGTTCTGATTTTTCAACGCCTCAGGATTGTTCGGGTTTTTCAATTATCCTCCTTAAATTCCTTCGATGTTTCGGACTGACTCGGACTTCGGACTCAGATCCTTCATTTCTTCACGTTTTCATCAAATTCTTTCTATTCATCAAATGATGTTTAAATTCTTTACACCCTTCAGACCCTGAAAATTTTAGATGTTTCGAATCCTTCTCGATGCTGGATTACGATAGCAAAGTGGATTAGGTTCACATGTATTCGCATTCGGACGTACTACCTTCCTGAGCCTGGCTAGAGTCGTCTGACCCCGCGCTTCTCAAGCCATTCCACACGTGAGATGAACCTAGGGACGCAGAAGTGGAATCGGCTCTAATCGTAGCCATCTCTGGCCAGGACACCCCCAACAGGGATCGTCTCAGTTTGAATAGAGGAGGACATTTGCAAAGTATGTGGTGTGCCGTGTCATCGTCTATAAATACCTACTCATAAAATCCTCTACAAGATAGTAATTTTGCCAAACCCACGCGAGGCATGTATACTTATTTGTCTACAGGCCTCTGTCGCATGACGTCAATCTTGTCTTGAGTATTAAGTTCTCTGGAATACAGTAGAAGCTAGAAGTGGAAGAGCAGGTTCTGGATAAAAAAACACGTATATCTGTTAGTCGGGCTAACTCATATGTTTTCTCATTGCCTTTTGTTCCAGCATGTCTTCAAGGGTGTTGTTGTTTGCTTCTTACTCTAGTTCATGGGTACACTCGGAAAAAGCCTGGGGGCAGTCCTGCTGTCACTTGAGATTCTGATAGTTTTGTTCTGCATAAGAACTTTTCTTGCGCTAAGCGAGATAGCCCTGCCAATTCTGCCTAGGATTTTTCTGATTTAAAAAATCCTCTGGATTCTTCGAGTTTTTCAACTAATCTCTCCCGCTGCTTCTTATGATTTTTCAAAGCTGCTGTTTCTACCGCGTGCCATCGAATTCTTCAAAATGTTCACTCTTTAAATTGTTGTGTTTCTGCATTTTATTTCCACATATACATTAGATTTGTGGTAATACAAAAAGAAGATAACCCTACATTTTTTTCTCTTAAAAGAGAAAGAGAGACAGAGAAAAGTAGCTCATGTTCAAAATACTAAGATAATGTAGGCACTTTCACAGTTTAGACCATTAAATCTTTAAACCCCCCCCCCCCCTCGGAAAAATTGTTCCTGGAATATTCATGGCTCGGAGAATTCGCTTTTCCCTCCGAAATAGCTTTTGCAAGGAACTATCTTTAAGAAGCATTTAAGCTTAAAAAAGCTGGATCATTGGTCAACATTTCTACTGTAATGACTACTTGGTCAAGTATCCGTCAGCACATCTTCCTTGAGGGTAAATACTCTGGAGATTAATGTTCCACAGAAAAAATCTCCTAGGGGAGAAATCTGTAGAGTTAGAGATTATTCCAAGACCGCAAGATCGAGTATTCATCGAGTGCAGAGCTTTTCAAAATGCAATTGTTCTTTGATGCGAGTTCCTAGTGATCGAGAATTTTCCGGACGAATCTTCTGAAAGCGAACTTTTCGAAAATGAATTTACCAGGGAGGTTAGTTTTCTTAGAGGCGAATATTCCGGAGGCAAACTTTCAAAGATGCATTTTCCTATAATCATCTAATCAATTATTGAATATGTATTGATATTCCCAAAATGCAAAATCGAGTATTCTCTTTGACTGCAGAGTTTTTCTGAACGTGAATGACCTTTGGAACAAGCTCCTAGTGAGCGAGAATTTTCCGAAGCGCATCTACTGAAAGAGACTTTTTCAGGAACCAATTTACTTGGTGGTGAGTTTCTTAAATTGGAACATTCGGGAAGCGACAACACATTTTCCTACATTCCACAGAAAGAATGAACCACAATACATTCCTTATTGTCGGGGACTAATCCATTATCGACTTGCTGGCGCCTTGATATCGCTCTAGAAAATTCCTTACAATACGTCTCATTCAGACGTTTCATGTTCCTTTTGTGAGTATATATTCCGTTCTTGCGGAATGAGGAATGATAATCGATTTTTTGTCGGGGGAGGGGTCGGAATTGAAAAAAGCCCATCGTAAAGAGCTTTCGTTAGAATATAATCATTTTCATTTCCCTCTCACAAATTCCGAAAATTCATCGTAAAGCTTCAATTGTTATTGTATCGTTTGACCTTTTTTCCCAATAAATATTATTATTATTATCATTATTATTACACAATTTGTAACATAATTATCAGTGTGTTCGCGCACTAAATTTCCCGGGAAACATCCGACTACTACTAGCATATTATTCTGTTAGTGACAAAAAACACATTTGCTCACACCAAAAGCGCATAATTCACTACTTGAAATTTCGGCTGGGGGTGAAAAACAAGTTTGTCTGTTTTAAATGACGGAATTCAGACACCTCGCAGAAATCTAAGTTACAAATGGGTACAAGTAGGTACTTCTTGTGGCCTCTACGATTTCATAGGTCTACAAAGTGACTTACCAAAATATCAATTGCATTGGAAATAGGCCCGGTTGCCTTAATAGTCTCCTTCGTCGAACTGTCCTGAGTTTTGTAAAAAAACTTGGTGTTCGCACTCTCCACGCTTCTGCTTTGGCTAAACTTCCATTCGCCGTTAATTATAAAGGTTCCATTTGAGTTTTTGAGCGCTACAAATTGCAAAAGTGGAAGGTAAACGATCAAATCGGCAAACGCATACCAACCTATGCGGTTGTTAGTGTTCATCAGCTGCTGGACGATGATATTACAGGCTCCTGCCGGAATTTGGGTGACCAAGGAATATCCTTGCGGCAGGTCCGGTTTAGTATATAAACCGGAAATTGTCTTGCATGATCCTTTTCGACAAGCTGAGCAAACCTCGGACGACTCGTCAATTGAGCCAATTACCCCGTTACTGGCGACACTCTGAAATCAAAAATTGGCAATTAATTTAGAATAAAATGATTTGTATTCAAGTGCAAAGTCTGCGTGTGGTCGTCTATCATAGGCGATTGATGACAACTGACGGAAATTATAAAACCAAATCGCCCGTTCATTTAAATGCAAAAAGACGTGTTCACTAATTACAAGAAGGATAATGGTTTAAATTAATGAAATCACTGTTATCAATTGATAAGAGAACTAGCAAGATGAATTAGCTTTGTACGGTTCATTAAAGGTAAATTGGTATTCATCATAGCTAATTTACTTTCTAAACAGATTTCATAGAAGTTTATAAGGGATTTCTAATAGTACACCTCTTTAAGTTTCCGATGTAATGTACCGTCAATTAATTACTTTAAAAGAACATTTTACATGTTTCATCCATTAGGTACACGTAAGTGGTACTAGAACGATACTTTATATGGGAAATTGTAGGAACGTAATTACACAGCAGAAAATAAGTGTACATTTGCTACAAATTTCAAAGGACAGCTATTTGTTATTACTGCTACAAATTATAGCTAAAGCTAAAATCTTCACACATGAAGCATCAGAACGCAACGGTTCATTTATGATTACCGACTTGTCATTTGTCGACAATGATAAACGGATTATAGCACAAAAAAGTTTCATACAATCTTGTTCTGTGTCTAAGATCGCGTGTTTTTATCATCCTAGGACAAAAATTAACCAGTTTTCCCACTGGCTGACTCACGTGTCATAATTTCTGCAGGTTGTTTACTTTTTAACTTACATTGCGGTCTGTATTGAATTAATTTTTTTCCATTAAGTTATTTCTGTTATAATTATCGTAAATTATTATTATTAAATTATTTAATGAATCGTCTCGAAAAAAGAGTTTACGTATTTTGGATTTCTTCGAAGATAACAGTTAGATGACAGACAGCCGGGTTTCACAAACTAATATTTTAATTTAAGATTAATCGCAATGGCAAAACGACTCCCCATTACTGCTCAACAGCTCTCTCTTGGTTGGTATCTGATACATCCATCCGCTACATCTTCAGGTGGCTTGTTGGCCTTCCATGAGAATCCGAATACATCCTCCTCTTCCAAAATAATCCAATTACTCTCTCGACTTTAGCCTCATCACTTCGAAACGCTTTTCCGTAATTAATCGCTCGCAGGAACGGTATCCATAACCTTTTGAGAGTTTGAAAACCCAGGAGCCAATCTCAAATGCGCCAGCTCACTTTGATGACGCCACCCACAAACCTTACCGCCGTCTCCTCTATCAACATCACAATCCAAATAATCGTCCATGCAGTGAGCGTGATGGCTTTATCTACTCTCGGGCGATCCTCCTCAAATTGTTCTGGATTTTTGTTTTTCACGTAACGTGTGGAAGATGATGGCCCCAAATATCATCACCTTCATCTGCCAATCCTCAATAGGCTGAAATTTGTCTTTTTTCTGCAGAGTAACCTTTGCGCATCGTCTCGATGAGGACCTAGTGGAACATCTGTCTGATATCCGCCGTGAATGCAACTCTTCTCTCCCTGACTTCATCAAAATCCCTGGAAGGGATTTCAACAAATTAGGACCTGTAAGAAGATTGTCGTTGATACTAACTTCATGGTTCTTTGCGGCCGCATCCAAAACCACACTGAGTTTATTTGGCTTTTTGGGAAAGAAGTCTCCAGAGTGGGGCACATAGGTACCGTACATTTTGAACATATCCCATTTGGTAATTGTGAGTCATCTTGTCGCGGTAGAGCTCAGCAAACACCTGGTTTTTCTCGAAGCTTTGATTAAGACTCAAAGCTTATTCACTGATTTCAGGAAGACAAACATTTTCATCGCGCCGAATCAAACCTGTTTTGCAACGTTCCTAGTTAATTCTTTTCGTGGTTAACTCTATGATCTGTCCTCACGCTTGTCTTCCTTTGACCGCGGCCGGTCATCCTTAACACCTACTCCAAATGCCTATGTACTCACAAACTCTCACATCATCCCTTCAATTGGAATTTTCTTCTCGGTCATGAACAAAGAAATCTCATTGGTGCTCCCCGAGGTGCTCCCATGAACTGTCAATACTAACTTACACCTTGATACCCACGGAGCGTTTAATGACATCTGTAGCGTTCTTTATTGAAGGCTCAATATATTATGTTGGAATTATGAGGCGAATATTATCTGGTCTTCTCAGGATTTGTGACGCTTTCACCCTCTCAGGCAAATTCACTTTTTGCAAATGTGGTCAACAATCTAGCAGTGTCTTGATCTTGACGCATTGGTAAGGGCTGCACAAATCCTTCATTCCTTAGAGATGAAAGAACTCATCGTCTACCTCTCCGGCCACTTCTAAGTCCGACAGGATTTCAGTCCCTTTCCGTTGAATGGATTTGGTCTACGAAAAATTGTAGGGAATCTCTTTGCTTCAAGTCCAAGTTCCTCAGCTAAACTTTGCTCTATAATAATTGTAGTTATTGAGTCACCATCCAGCATGGTTGTTGTTGTTACAACGCCATTATGTCCTCGCAGCATGATCGGTAATGATCTTCGCTTAACTTTTGTACTCCTCCTTTGAACAAGGTTTCCAACTTGTCCACGTTCCCCTTTTAGAATAGAACAAATTCAGTTTATGATTATTCCCAAGGATGAAATATTTTGGATTTTCCCATGACCGTGGAAACACAGTTTCTTTGATTTAACCAAGCGCCAACGCTCATTCATCGCAAGCACTGCAATTTAGTGAGCTTGTGTTCCGAATCACAAATCGCACACAGTCCTTCTTCTTGAATTTTCCTTGTTTGACTGATTCTACTATGGGGGGTGACTTTTCCTTGGGTTTCTCACTTCTTGATCTGTATCCTAACTAATATCAGTAGGTACTAAGACATTCCCATGTTTCGAAACCTTCTTGTCCGAAGGTTTCTTATAGTGTTTCTTGAGACGTGAATAAGTCACCAACTGGAATCAAGAAACGAAATCATTCAACGTTGGTGATGAAGAGCCCATGAATTTTCCGTTGTCCATGGCAACTTCTCAATAATCTCGTTGAGAAATACTACGGGATTGCGCCAATAGTCCTTTTGGTTCAATTGTTCAGTCATCCATATGAAGTCATTCATGGAATTCGCAAATTTCAAAAATGACTCTGGTTTGCTTTTGTGAGGTAAGGAGAGCCACCTCAAATTGTTCAAAAACATGGATATGATGAATTCTGGTCTTCTGAACCTTTTCTCTAATACCTCTAAGGCCACACCTACATTTGCACTTGTGCAGAGAAGATTCTTCACATAGTCTTTTGTCTCCTTAACAAGTCAAATTTCTCACCCTGCACCAGCTTACATGCATCCACAATATGTCTAAACCGCTCAATGAACCCAGACCAGTCTGCTGGATGTCAAGAGAAGGCATGACTGCCTGTGAATAGACATAGGATGGCTCGGGCACTGTAACGTCTTGTTGTATTGGTGGTTGTAAGAAAGAAGGGCTGGTACAAAGTCATTTTGTCGTGGTTAAGACATAATATGGCTCGGTACAAACCCACTTTGTTGTGACTGACTCGTTAAATACCCAGCACCACGCTCAACCCAATGCCTCTTTCAATCTGTTGATCTAATTAATGTATCAAGCAGTATTTCATACTTTTCCTCGATCTCGAGCTGCCCAGGTTGCCCGGGTCTCCCTTGTTTCAAATTCGAACACAACCTGTGTCCTTTTGACTCGCCTTTTGACCTCAATTTCTGAACCTAACCTCTTCTTTTCGAGGTCAGCTAATGTCTGTTTGCCTTCCAACGTAGCCTTAAGCCATTCTTTTCTTGCTAGCCTAACCTGTGCAGCCTCACTTGCAGTAATTGAATTAGAACTTGTATTTTATTGATGAAATTTGATTTATTGATGAAATTTGCTTGCTCAACTACAGGTTTTACCCCAATTACAGTTGAGACGCACTGTATTGCACTATTGCCTTGATTGGTCGCCGTCGTCGTGACGTCCAAAGGGTTTCCGGATGTCTCTCTGCCGCTTGACCTCGTCTGGTCACCCGGATACATCCATTCACCATACCTGGTCGGCATTTTTCCTTGGTTGGTACGTCCCACACGATCCATGTAGTCACCTTTTTGGCTCATAGTTTACAAGCAACAATTACATGACGCTAATAAGCCCCCCAACTACGATAATGGAATCAATAAAAATGGCTAAATCGCACTTTAATTAAGCATTTTCAACAAAAAAGTTTGCGGAAAAAGCCCAAAATTTTCCACAATCCTACAAAGTTCACTTAATTTCGTCGTTCGTCATTCTTAAGATGGTGAAACTGAAAAATTTTAAGTGGAAGCTTTCTTTATTCATTAAAAGGTGACAGCTAATTTTTGTAAGAGCTTATATTAACTTCTTCGTCTACTAAATTGAAATATGCTGGGTTTAACGTGTATATGAACGGTGAATGTAATTAAAGTAGTATAATAGGTATAATGCACAATAAAATTTTAGGATTACTTCGACTTATACACCAAATAACCGACACTTCCATGTCACATGTGGATACACTTTAATAACCCCACTTTTGGACACGCATACCTACAGTCTAACCCCTTGAATGTCTTAGGGAAGAAGAATGTCGTAGAGAAGGTTACATATTGCATCTGGCAAAGATCGAGTCAATCACCTAGAGGGGAAACCCGAGCACTTCCTGCATGTTTCATATACTAATTCGTTCGTATCGACCACCGATTAACTTCGAACGCCTTTTTCATACCAATCGTTGCTTAGCATCCACCATCTTATATGGTCGAGAGGGCATCTCCCATAGATCGCCTCTTTGTTAGCGACCACCAATTAACATGAAACGCCTTTTCAATTTTGATCGATCTGAAACGACGGACTCGACAGATTATTATTATTATTATTATTATCCCTCTCTTGTTTAGATCAATCGTACTCTATATGGAGCCCTTTACAGGATTGAAAAAATTAAGTGCAATCAAGTCTTCAGAAGTACGTATATTTTG